CCTCTCTCCACCTTCCCCACCCTTCTCCGGGGCCCAGAGGAGATTAACAGTTAATGTTTGTTTCATGACAGCCTGTGTTCCAGGCTGTTTTGACACAATTGTGTGGTTCTTGATCCAACACAATGATTAACAGGGTGTCTCTCAGCATCGTCTGTATTTAAAAATCAAGGAAAGATTGGTCTAAGGCCTGGAGTTGATTTGACATGAGCATGCGTTAGTTAAAAGGGAACACGCATTAAATCAGCTTTAAAATTCAGTGATTCATGCCTGGAACCACAGCATAATTGGGTTATAATTCTAACTGTATCTTATTTTGAAGATTATATTCATTAGAATATTTGGCGAGGGCCTTCGAGTAAAAGCAGTATCCTTTTCGCTTCTCTGAATGATGCACCCGAGGGGAGGGAAAGAAGAGAGAATAGCCACTAAAAAGAGAGACAGAGAGACTCGCATGGTGTCACCTGCCTGGCAGTTCCTTGGTTCTTGCTGCCTCTGATCCAGCTGCCCCCTTTTGAGCTCCTGCTCCATGCTCTTTGCGCCTTTTCCTTTAACCCCCAAGCAGCGTGGGTGTGATTACAATTCCCGTTTTGCTGATGGGAAAACTGAGACCACAAAGAGTCTGCATGGGCATCCAGATCTGTGCCCCCACAGCCCCCACCCTTCCTTATGCTGCCACCCCAACTCTGGGTCATGTGAAGCCAGATGGTGTTCCGCAGCCAAGGAAGGAAGGCAGAGGGTTCTGGGATCTGGGGTCAAATCATTTGCCCCAGCTTTCTGGACATTTTCCCCACCGACCATAGGAAGTCAAGCTGAGGGCCGAAGGTAGGCCCAGGCCTGTTGGGCCCCATGGTGGAGTGTAAGAAGGGGAGTTTGGCATCTGAAGAGGAGGATTCCGAATCCTGGCTGCTGCTCCTGCGGTTTTACCTGCTCTGGGTCTTTGAAAAAGGCGTCTTGCCACCGTGCTCCTTGGTTCTTCATCTGGAGAACGAAGGAGATTTACTGGTGACGTACGAGGGCCCCTCCGTTCATTCCTGCATGAACGTAGGTCCCTGGGGAGCTGACTTTTGAGGTCATTCCTGAGCTCTAGTTTTATGCACTTAGAACACGCTATATACATGTTTGCTGGAAAGGTTAGAGAGAGGGAGACGTAAACACTGAACGGTGGGGAAGGCTGCTGAGAATGTGTCTTGGCCCGCCAGGATGAGAGACCATTGGTCTTCACATGCCGCCTGTGCCCTACAACTGCCCCTTCCCCCGGGCTCACGTGGACAGTGTTTAAGCTGCAGCCTATAGGGGTCTATTACACACTCCCCTTGGCCTCGGCGTTTCTGTGGATGTCTCTATCACGGAAATGAGGAAACGAGAGAGAGCGAGATTTCAGAGGGTCTCCCCATTTGCATGGCTCAACATTGATACCCAGCCAGCCATGAAATTGTGTTCCCGGAGAGGCAAACCCACCCAGCCGCCACACACAGAGCAGCATCCGACCGGAGCAAGAGGGAGCGAAGCCCCCAGCCCTCCCCAGGGCCTATGACTAACTGGCTGTGGGAGTGACAGCAGGAGAGAAAAGGCCAGCAGCCCGGCACACACTCCGCAAAGGGACGAGAGACCTAGGATGCTCGTACGCATTGATCTGTTACTCACATATATCGGAAAGGGGACAGTCAAGATTCCAAAACTCTTTAGAGAGTGGGTGGGCCCCACCTCTCGCTGGAAAGAAACTCAAGGGGGACTCATTCCCAGTGCAAACTCTGGCTCCATCCAGAGAACACTGGCTATGTTCAATCATTTGCCAAAGGCTGCCGGTTTTCAAGACAAGCATGTTTCCAGCAGACCTGGCACAGTCCTTAGGAGTTGCTGCTGAACGCATTCCTTGTCCACAGAGCAGTAGAATTAGCCATTCTCTCTCGGCAGGTGTCAGCCCCAGCCTGTCCCCATCTTAGGAAGCAGCCCGATTATGACACCTCCTCCAAGAAATCCTGCCCGAGCCCTCCCGGCCACACCCCATCATGTGGCGAGCAGGTCAAAGGCTTGGGAGCAGGCAAGGCCTGAATTTGAACCTGGGCTTCACTGGTTTCTGGCTGCGTGGCCTTGGACAAGTAGCCTGGCTTTGAAAGCCTCACCTGCCAGAGGAGTTATCAGTGCAACAGGGAAGAATCTAGATTCACAAAGGAAAGAATTAGTTGTTGTTTTCACATCCATCATTGCAAGTTCCTGTTCCATCCAATAGGGAGACTTCACCTTCGCAGATTAGGGTCCTGCCGTTCCCTTAGGGTGCTAGCTGGTTTCAGGGGGATTTGTATGATGCTCGGGTGTTGAGGGGACTTCCAAGGAAGGGGTGCTCACCTCTCCGGTCCTAAGTCCCTGACGGAGCTTCAGGACTGGCCACTTTCTCGGGGTCTCCTGGCCTTACTCAGAGGCACAGAAGTATCTGCACTGCTCCTCACGCTCTCTGTGTAAGACCATCTGTTCATCCATCCAGGTGCCCAGACCAGCGTCCCCTCCCAACATCACGCACCCCTGCTGGCACTTAGCCCCAGTGACAGCCTCAGGTGCCCTCCCCCTGCATCTCTGTTGTCTAATCTCCCACACACACCCCTGCCTGGGGAATCAGCCCCTTGTCTGAGGGAATCCAAAGTTTCTTCCTCTATGTTTCCCCAAATGTTGATCCAGACCCAGATCCTCCCCACCCTCTTAAGAGTTCCCGGCTTCTGGAAACGAAACTGGGGAAGAGCCTCAGCTTTAAGCCCCGCCTGCTCTCCTCCCGGTCACAGCCCTCCCTGTGGCAGCAAGCAGAAGCCAGAGAGGGAGGGAACGGGGAGGAGTTAAAGGAATAGAGGCTAAGATCTCAGACCTATTCTTACCACGTAAGGATTAAATAAAATAGCATATGAAGGAACTCACCATGTTTTAGGGCCTCATCAATGATGGCTATCATGTTTTTCCCCTGGGGTCTGTTGGCCATATTATCTATATCTCTTTTTTTTTTTTAAATTAATCATGCTCAGCCTTGGGCCACCTATTGTATTGGTGATTTGCTCTTTTATATTCTCCCAGATTCTACACTTTATTCTCCCAACTCAATGTAAGCTCCTGGCGAACATGATCCTCGTCTTACAATTCACCAAATCTAACAGAAGAGTAGGCATACAGCAAACGCTTTTAAATGTGTGCAGATCTAGCTTCAGGAGTTTAACATCATGTTCCCAAAGATTTGGCGAAAGTCCTTTGTGTTAGAAAATCAGGTTGGGTTGTTTTGTTTTTGTTTTGTTTTTTTCTTAAGATAATTCATGAGCATGTTTCTATCTGAATATTAACAGAGGAGCCATGTGCTATCTGCAGACACTCTGGGCTAGATAGTAAAAAGAAAGAGATTTTCCGTGTATCCATTATATTTTAAAGTCCTGCATCACAACAACCCCTGAGTGCAAATATATTTCAAATTTTATGCTGGCCTCCTATTGCAAAATGCTAATTGAATTGATTTCCTGGAGCTGCATCGCTGATAAATAGAGTACATCACAGATCTGGGATTTCTGAGTCAAAAATAGAGAACGTGGATGCTTTGCTGAGAGGAAAGAATGCACAGGAAAATGTCTTCACATTCAAAAGAGTTGCAGAGTTTGGTTTGTAAGGAGGGAGCTGCTGAATGGGCTCTCTGAGCCTCATTGGACCGGGCTGGCCAGTGCCGCCAGGAGGCCTCACTGGATGGATATAGTCACACTGTGGGGCACATACGTCACCACTTCCTACTTGCGGCCTTGGGTCACCTGTTTCTCCTCTCTAAGCCAGAATTTGCTTACCTGTAACTACAGAATAGCACCCATCTCCCAAGTGTCTAATGAGTCAATAATGGAATGTGCCAAAACCGGTTTGGCTCAATGGATAGAGCTTCGGCTTGGGGACTGAAAGGTCCCGGGTTCAATTCCGGTCAAGGGCATGTACCTTGGTTGTGGGCATATCCCCAGTAGGAGGTGTGCAAGAGGCAGCTGATCGATGACTCTCTCTCATCGATGTTTCTTATTTTCTATCTCTCTCCCTTCCTCTCTGTACAAAATCAATAAAATATATTTAAAAAAATAATGGAATGTATGTTGAGGACATCACAGATGTTAGAAACACAGTCCACACCCAGTTGGGAGCTGACCATCTGGATGTCCTGGTAGATGCAGCTTTGCCATTCATACCAGGCTCAAACCCTTCTTTTTACAGGTCAACGGCAGTGCCCTTGTGCTGAGGTCTTTGAGGGGCATATTATCCATGGGGGCTTTGAGGGCCTCGAACAGAAGGTCCCAAATTGGCTACCTCAAGCCATGGCCACCTCGGGTCATTCCTCAAAGCCAGATCTGTTGAACGTCCCCTGTGGACTGAGCTCTGCAGTAGAGCCTTCTCCTTTCACTGCCGAAGTAAAGAGGCTCTGATTGGACAGTGACAGAGAATGGGTCAGAATGGCTCCAACCATAGGGGTGGACGATGGACTTACTCAGGGGAAGTCCCTGCACACCGCCCAGCGCACAGCAGACTGTTAGCCAATGGTAGCTTCCTCCTCCCTCCTATTCTGTCTTCTCAGACTGTGAGTCTCTGAAAGTAACTATTTTAAGATGCCAGGCTTCCTCAACAGGTGCAGCTGGGAGTGTCACGGTGTCAGCCGCATATTGCATCCTCTTGTTGAGAACCAGGACACCGAGCTCCCCGCCTGGAAGGAAAGGATTGGGTGTAAGGTAAGGTGACCAGATGTCCCGCTTTTGGCGGGACAATCCCGATTTTCAGCAATTTGTCCCGCGTCCCGCAGCATTTAAAAAAAAAAAAAAAAAAAAAAAAGTCTTTTTTTTTTTTTTTTTAAATGCCGCAGGACAAATTGTTAAAAATCGGGACCTCTGGTCACCTTAGTGTAAGGGGCACAGTCTTTGTCCTTGGCTCCAGAGGCAGGCAGCGCCTTGGGGTTGTGTCTCCTCCCCCATCCCCACAGAAACAACAGTGGCTGCCGCTTTCTCTTCCAGGAGGAGAAGTCACCAAACCGCGGTTCGCCCAGTTCTTCCACGGCAGCCTGGCCAGTCTCACCATCCGCCCTGGCAAGATGGAGAGTCAGAAGGTGATCTCCTGCCTGCAGGCCTGCAAGGAAGGGCTGGATATCAATTCCCTGGAAAGCCTCGGCCAAGGAATAAAGGTAAGGAAGGAGCCAGCGCCGCTCCCAGACAGATGTATGAGCGGGAGGCTGCCCAGGGCCGCTGCACTCTGGGAAATGGAGTCCTCTCCTGCCCAGTGGCACAGAGACAGGAAGTTTTAATAATTTTAAGGTTGCCTTCTCGCCAGGAAAAGGTGCTGCCCCTGGGGACAGGTTGGTGACTGTGACTCCGAATGGACACCTCCTGAATGTCCTAGAGAAAGCCCTGTGGGCGGATAGTCAGGCACACGGTCAGTGTCTACCTGAGGGAGTTTCCCCTGTTCTTTGGTTGGTTGATTATTCCCCTAAAGGAGCAGAAGCAGTGTGCAGGAAGGTATTTTTCAAAATAAAAAGCTTGGACCATGCATGGTGACATGAGAAAGGAAGTTAGAAAGCAGATGTGGCGTGGCTGGGTCTTTCATTGTTGAGTTGAAGCATAGACTGAGCCCCGAGCAATCTCTGGCCATCGGAGGGAATGCAAACGGACTCTGGGTTTTGATCATGTATGCAAAACACAAACATTTGAGTAATCCAGGAGAATCAAAGCTGCATTCTGAGCAAAGCTCCTTCTGAGGGGAGGGGAGGGAAGAGGAAGGGAGGAGAGGACAGGATGTGGCCGACTCTGCCTCAGCAAGCATCTGCCTGACAGGCAGGCCTGGTTCTGGCCTCACCTGGATGGCAGGAGCCCCTGCCTGTATGAAGGCTCTGGAGATCTGAGCAAAGAGCAGGATAACATCCCGGTAGCCCTCACTCCCTCACCAGGGCCTCCAGCCCCTGTGGAGCTCCGCTGCCCTCCAGCCCTGGGCCTGCTTCTCCGGCTGGGAGCAGCCCAGCAGTGGAGAGCCCTCTGAGTGGAGCCGCTTGGGGCTTATGCAGCTCTGGTGGTGGCTCTGGAAGGGCTAGTGAGCTGAGCACATCGTGCTTTTGTCTGAGTTGAGGTCGAGTCAGCAAACATTCCATGGACGCCCATGCATTTGGTCTTGGCTGGGTAAAGGGGCACAAAAAGGAATGTCCCCAGCTTTTTGTCTTCAGGAAACCCAGTCCTCCTCCTGAGCTCCAGAACCTGGGGAATGGCAGTCAGGGGAGGCTCCTTGGAGGAGGCAGCGACTATGCAATGGAAAGCAGAGCCAGGCTTCTTCAGGAAGATGGCTATTCCACAGGGAGTCATTATATTTCACCTACTCGTTGGTTGGTTGGTTGTTTACTCCACTACAGGGACTGAAGCAGCGTGCAGGGAGATATTTTTAAAAAGAAAAAGTTCTGGGATGGGTAGGAACCAACCAGGAAAAAGGTAGTGGGTAGAGGAATGGGAGAGGGCAGGGTGGTCACTCTAGCCAGAGCCGAGAACCTGTGGGAGCAGAGGGCTGAGGAAGCCGCAGTGCACCCTGGGACTCTGGGGCCAATGTTTAAGGGACCAAATTGCAGGACCGAGGTAGACAGTGTGACCAGAGAGGTAGACAGAGGCCCCAAGAGGCCACGTCAGGGAGCCTCGTTCACTGTGTTTAGGTGTTTACTTTTTCTCTGTCAGCCACAGGCAGCCATGGAGCACTCCAGGCAAGGAAGTGTGGTCTGGGCCCTTGTGGGGTTTAGGATGCTCACCCGGAGCCTGAGTCAGAGCGGGGAGATGGTAGAACATACACAGGGTGAGGCAAGAATAGCTTTCCGGAACCTTGTTTAACGTGCGTTAAACACTCACACACACGCTTCAATAGCTAATCGCCACCATGAAAGGGAACTCAGAAGACTAACTCCTGGCGGAAAGGTCGTGTTTTATGACAGCGGGTCCAGGCAAGCCCCTCACGGCACATGTCACACACACACACACACACACACACACACACACACACACACACACACACACACACACACACACACACACACACACACACACCGTCCCATGCAGAGCCTGGGGTTTGATCCTGGACCTGCCTTTTGTGGTCTGTGCTATTCCTCGGTGTGTTGTCAGACCAGCAAAGCAGAAATCCCTCTGCCAACCTTCCCCTCTCTGTCACATTCGGGGTTTGCTCCTGGCCCCTGAGTGGGTCTCCTCTTTGCCAGGTCATCCCGTGGTGGAGGCTGGTCTGATTTTTCAGGGTTCCATCTGCTCACGGCCAGTCAGTGCGGAGGATCCTTTTACATCCTTAGGGCCCCGCTCACCAGCACCGGGGCCTGGGTGAGAAATGAATGGCAGGCACACGACTGACAGTGCACCCACTAGGGCCCTCTTGCGTTCATTATCCCCTCTCCTCACAGCAAGTTAAATGGGCTGACCCCATTTCAGCAATAAGGAGCGTGGGGCTCAGGGACTTGTCCCAACTCGAATTAGAAGGCATTCTTAAAATTATTAAACCTTCCTGCCTGCCTCCACTTATCCCTCATTTTGTTGCTGAATAGTGGCTATTATTTTCTTTCCTGGCCCCCTGCCTCCTCTCTGGCTATGTGAAAGAAGTGGCGTCCTCCTGGGATTGAGGAAGCTTCTGTCAGCTCACAGGGCCAGTCGGTTTCTTTCTTTCTTTCACTGACTTTCCCCAGATCATGCACATTTCTGAGTCTCTCTCCCATGTGTCTGGAGTCATTACAGTGGTCGGTGGCTGCTGTCTTGCCAGCCACACAAAACCTGGTGAGATAGCGCCTTCCTGAAGGAAGCCGGCTCTGATCTCCTGCACCACCCCTGTGGCTGTCACCTGCTCAGTGCGGGAGAGAGGGCAGAGCAGGGACTTCGGAACAAACCATCCGGGGCTCAGATCACAGTGCGATGTTTACTAGTTGGTGGCCTAGGGCAGGGCGCTCCTATCCTGTAAGCCTCACTTCCCTCATGCAAAATGGACTTACCTTTTGCAGAGATGTTGTAAGAATTGAATTTTATGCATATATATATATATATATATATATGTATTTTAGATATAGCAAAGGTGTAGCTATACACACAGATATAGACAAATATAATCATAGCTATAGAAATAGATAAATATAGATTACATATATATTTATAGCTATTGAAATAGATGTAGAAATAGATATAGTTATTATAAGTTGATATATGGAGACATATTTAAATAGATACTGATATAGATAATATAGATATAGCTGATATAGATGTAGACATAGATATAGGTATATAGCTATATCTATGTCTACATACCTATATCTATGTAGATATAGATATAGATATATAGGTATATTTAGATAGATGCAGATATAGATACAAAGGCATAGGCATAGATATAGGTACATAGATCACTCCTAGCAAACCTAAAATCTCAACAACAAAAAAATCAGTTTCCTTCTCCAGCTGGGCTGGGCTTGCAGGTCTTTTGGAAAGTAAGCCTGGGTGACAGCTGTCACAGAGGCAACTCCGCTGGCCCAGCCCGGAGATCTGGCAGGTGTCCGAGGGAATCATGGCAAGGTGCCTAGACTGCCATAGCCGGCCTGTCCTGGAGAACAGGTCAGAGCTTTGGACAGAAATGTCACCCCGCTCCAGCCTGGTAATGGCTGGTGACATCGGCCAATCCTCAGAGCTGACCCCTCTGCAAAGACCCCTGTCCAGCAGCTTCTTGGCTTACAGAAAGGAAACACTGGCTACCACACAGCTTCCCTCTGACAATGCCAGTACCACTCTATGTCACACACAGCTAGAGGCCAACCTCCGCCATGCCACAGGGCTGTGAACATTGCAGTTCAAAAAACAAAATGAGGCAAACACCTATTTGAAAGATGGCATTATTGATCTTACAAGAACTATGTCGAAGGCTGTGGTAGTTCTTGGAATGCTCTGGCAACCAGATGAGTGTGTTACCTGGAGGTCCAGCACATTCCCTGACCTGCCCTCTCTGAAGAGGTTGCAGTAGGAAAGTGCCCTCTGCTGGCTTCCCAGGGCACTGCTGGTCTGTCCTGGGTCAAGAACGGCATTGCCTGTTCAGCCCTGATGTGAGGCTCAGAGATCAGCCTTGTCTGCAGAGTCATCCCCTGGCTTCATGCTTGTCATGTGCTAGGCCCATGTGCTATCATAAGGAAAGTCAGTAGATCCTATCCTCCAGGGGCTTCCAGTCTGCCGGGGGCAGCAGGCAGAGAGACAGACAGCAGCTCTACTATCCTATAGCAGGGATGTGATGGGGCAGAAAAAAACCTCTGGGAACAGAAGTATCTTTAGAAGAATGACCTTGAATCTGCTCAAATCTGAACCTGGTGATTGGTGAGCACTCAGAACTCCTGTGCCGTGACTCATCAGTGCGTGGCAGCCAGTGAGTCATCCTGGCAGGAGAGAAGCCGGCCGGAGGCTGACTGCAGCGTCACCTGCTCTAGGCCGGGGGACTTTGTGTCCAGCGCAGGGAGGGCTGCTCGTGACCAGACGTCACAGCTCAGAGAGACCCTGCTCAGAGAGACCCTGCTCAGGGCCTTCAGGACAGGAGGGCCCTGGAGCGTGGGGAAAGGCAAGCAGCAAAGGCAGGGAATCAGCACAGGCAAAGTCTCTGTGCAAACATCATTACAATGTTAAGAATGATGACAAAAACTACCATACATTGATACTTTATATGCATTATCACAGTTAAGCTCCAGTCAGGCAGATGCTAATATCCTATTTTAAATGAAGAAATGAAGTCCAGAAGGGAGATGTGTGCTCCAAAGTTGTACTCCGTCTGTAGTTTGTACCAGAACTGGGTGATGGCCATCCACACAGCCCATCATCTCCCAGGATTACCACAGCCTTGGAGACGTTAGAGTCACGCCTGGGAAGGGCCCAGTTCCTCCAATGGGCTAAGGGACTGCAGTAGCAAATAGCTCCAACATCTCTCTGGCTTCATGCCTAAAAGTTTATTTTTCTCATACTACATCGGGGGGAGGGATAGAGGGGTATTCTGCCTAGAATGCCTCCAGCCACCAGAGGAGAGAAAGAAAAAGGCTGGAGTGTCCTGCGGGGCGTTTTTACCAGAGCTGCTGCTTCATTTTCTCTCACATCTCATTGGCCAGATGCAGTCACGTGGCCTTGCCTTCCAGTGGCAAAGGAGAGCTGGGAAGTGCAGGATGCCCTGGAAGGAAAGAACAGGATTTGATGAGCACCAATGATGTCTCCCGGAGAGGCTTGACTAAAGACATGTGACAGCAGAAAGAAAGTTCCTTAGGGAAGTAACAAGAGGTGACGCAGAGTAAAATGTAGGCTGGAGGAGCTTACAGGGCACGAGGACGAGGTTCTGGGCTTCAGGGATAAGACTCGCTGAGCTCATGGTCACAGCACTGGGATCATGATGTCACCACGTCATGCGCATTGTCGGAGCTTCCTGCGGACCTAGATGGGGGAAGACGAGGAAGCCTCAGGAGGGATCCCTGAAAGGTGAAGGAGACAGAGGTGAGGCTGTCAGTTGGCCAGGGGCCACAAGCAAGGGACATATGTGGGTCAGTGTCACCATGAGACATCCAACTCCCATCATGTCCAAGCCCAGAACAAGGAATTTTTATAAAGACATACAAGTCCTGTCAGAGAAAAGCTCAAATAGATAGATTTTTCCTTAGGCCCATGAAAACATACTCAGTCTCCTTCATGGTAAGAGGAATGCAAATTTAAACTACACTGAGATGGTATATATATCACCTACCAGATTGGCAAAAATCCCTGACAGCGTATTCTACTAGAGGGAGTGTCTATTGCTCTGATCCCTAGCCATGGGGAGATTTGGCAACATTTGTCAAACTTTAAATGCATATACTCTTTGATCTAGCAATTTCATTTGTAAGGGAATAACTCTGCAGATATATTTACACATTTATAAAATTTTACGTGTACAAGGCTATTCATTGTGGCATTGTTAGAGAGAAATTAAAAACAAACCAACTGTCATATTAGGAGAATGGTTAAAAACTAATTTATTGAAATTAAAAAATACTATACTGCCGTATAAAAGAATAAGAATGTTTAAAGAAAGAATTCCAAGATATAAGCTAGATGAAAAAAGGCAAAGATACAGAATAATGGATAGTATGTAAAGATGTTATCCTTAAGAAAAGAGACTAATGGAAATCAATGTTCATAGATTATATATTCATAAGAATAATTGGTCAGGATCTGCTAAGTGATGCTGCAGTAGTAAATGACTCACAATTTTTCAGTGGCTTATCCAACGATCTTTTTATTGTTCACATTGCACGTCCATTATGGATGGGCTGTGGCTCTGATTCATAGCAGCCTTCCTGTGAGACCCAGGCTAACGGACCAGACCCTAAGGGAACTGTGCAGGCTTCGTGGCAGAGGGAAAATGACACAGTGAACCAAGAACTGGCTATTCAATCTCCCACATGGGTGTCAACCAAACAATATTCTGCCCACGTTTTGGTGGCCAAGCAAGTCACATGACCCCTACTGTGTGCAACAGGACAAATAATATACTCGTATATCCAGCAGGGAAGGGTGCCATGAGTCACATGATCACAGGACAGGTATGGATAAGCCTCGCACCAGAAAGGGGGCAGCTCATTATGAACAAGAATGGAACCGGTCGCTAAGAAATTAGTATAACCGTGATTACCTATGGGATGAGCTTAGACAAGGTGATGGATGGGAGACAGAAATTAGATGGACACTGTCACTTAGCACATCTGTCCATTTGAACCAGGCGGATATATTATCTATTCAAAAAATAACTGTTGCCAGGTAGGTACATAAAAGCATATCCATGTCCCTCTTTCCTGTCACATGAGCATTGGAAACATAACCTGAACACACAGATATGATCCTGACATCTCACTAATAGCAGTTCCTAACAATTCTTGCTCAGAATTATCAAGCTCACTAACTCAGACCAGTAGGAAGGCCCACCAGAGGGTCGCAGGAGCGGCTGGCGGGTTAAAACAGTTGTCGGTGCACGGGGCATCCACAGCGCCTGCGCTGGCCTCCGTGGCCGTTTCGTGGGGAGGGAGGGTCTCCGGGGACTGGGTGCATTGGCGGTCCTCCTCTCCTGTCTTCCAGTATCACTTCAACCCCTCACAGTCCGTCCTGGTGATGGAAGGCGACGACATCGGGAACATCAACCGCGCCCTGCAGAAGGTCTCCTACATCAACTCCCGGCAGTTCCCGACTGCGGGCGTGCGGCGCCTCAAAGTCTCGTCCAAAGTCCAGTGAGTGGAGGCCAGTGGCCTGGGCCCGGCTGGGGCAGCGGGATGGTCCCCCTGCAAAACAGGACTCGCCTCTCCACCATTCCCAGCTTCTCTGCTACCCCTCTGAGGATGCCGTGGTAGATCTCTAGTCTCCTGCTCTTAAAATACTCTGTTTTGCCAACTGAGATGCCTGGAAGGCACTGTGTTTCTGTTAGCCCTCAGGGGCTGGGTGTGAAGTGGTGTCATTTAAGGGTACAGCGCGTGGTAAGTGGTAGGCGCTTGACCAAGGTGCGTTAATTAAATTAAGGAGCCCAGCCCTGAAGCGCTCCTAAATGGCATAAGTGTGCCAGAGGAAGAGCAGGCACGCTCTTGTCCCCAGGGAGCAGACAAGCTGATCTGAGGAGATGAGACCGTTACTGACGCCTGTGGATAACTCCCTTACTCACCTGTCAATCACTTGGTAGCCACAGCAGCCGCCACAGACGGCTAGAAAGGGGACCCCAGGAAAATTCCTGGGAGAAGGAAGGGTATTTCCTGTACCTGGAGCCAGGAGAAGGACCCGGAAACACATGAGCGAGGGTGGGAAGTGGGGCTTGCTGATTGCCCGTGGCTGGGGTCTGGGAGAGGTGCCGGGATAAAGCCACAGACAGCAATTATGTTCATAGTCCCATCTAAGGATGGGCTCCCCCATCCTCTCTAAGGCCCTCCCTGGAGGCCTGGCGTGGGAACCAGGCACCTCCAAGTCAGCTTCACTTTACCGTGAAGAGGGACAGACTGGCCAGACTCCAGCTCTGGGACCAGGTTTCCTTAAACTGGCAAGAGGAGAGGTGTCCTTTATGAACTAGTGCCATGGTCAGCAAACTCTTTAGTCAATGGAGCCAAATATCAACAGAACAGCGATTGAAATTTCTTTTCAGAGCCAATTTTTTAAAACTTAAACTTCTTCTAACGCCACTTCTTCAAAATAGACTCGTCCAGGCCGTGGTATTTTGGGGAGGAGCCACGCTTACAGGGCCAAAGAGCCGCATGTGGCTCTCGACCATGGAACTAGGGGGTTGGTGCAGCCAAGGCCCAAGGAAAACTGGGAACAGGACCCCAGCACCATTCCCACACCTCACCCACCCAGAGAAGAAGATAGGGGAGCTCAGCATGGCCTCCACCCAGCTTCCCCTTTCCTCGGGGACTTTCCCAGGGGAGGCAGGTGGTGGCTGCCACAGCTGGAGCCCACCCACTGTTCCCAGCACACCCATCTGGGCTCTCCACTGCAGCCTCAGGCTTGGCCGAGATACCCGGCAGAAGTGCCAATGGCACGCACACCTGACGGGGTCTCATGAGGGCCTCAAGTCTGTCAACAATGTCTGAGCTCCAGCCATGATGCAGGCTCTGGGTCCCCTTCCCACTACAAGCTATCACATTTAATCCCTCCTGTTACAAGGAATTAATGTTCTAGAGATGATGAACAGTGATTTAGTCTCATCATTCCCAATCTATAGATGCAGAAGCTGAGGTTCCAGGGGTTGAGCACTGTGCTCAGAGTCACCCAGCCTGGAGGGGCAGCCAGGCCAGGGACCCTTGTCTGTCTAATTTCCCGGGCTTTGCTCCTGTCACCACCCCATTCAGCTCCCGGGTGCTCTGTGTGTATCAGGGGAAACACACGTGGTTACAGTAGCGCTCGGCTGGCACACCTGGAAGAATAGGTGCACGTGTGTGACCTGTTCTCACAGTGATCACAGACGGGCAGTGGCTGGAGAGGCTAGCCCTGTGGTCTCAGTAAAATGGCTGTAACCAGCCAGTCAGACAACCCTTTGCTTACCAAACCCTAATGCACAAAACAAGCGGTCGCCATCCAATTAACGCGGCCATTGATTACTTTGTTAGAGGATAATTAGAGGTTTCATGGTTACTTGTTGCCTGGATAGAAAATTCCCATTTCTCCCAGGAGACGATCTCATTAAGTCCCTAGACTGCTAGTTGTTCTGACAATAATGCATCTTTAAGCTTAAATGTCTGCTGCCATCCTGGCGCCTTGCAGGCCATCAGGATGTCTTGTCGGGGTGCAGGGAGGAAGGGCTGTCTGCATCCCTGCCCGTGGATGCATGATGGGTGGTCCCGCCATGTGCTTCCCAGGTGCTTCGGGGAGGACGTGTGCATCAGCATCCCCGACGTGGACGCCTACGTGATGGTGCTGCAGGCCATGGAGCCCCAGATCACCCTCCGCGGCACGGACCGCCTCTGGAGACCGGCCGCCCAGTTCGAAAGCGCCCGCGGCGTGGCCCTCTTCCCCGACATCAAGATCGTGAGCACCTTCGCCAAAGCCGAGGCCCCAGGTGACTTGACGCCCACAGGTACCGGGGCATCCTGGGTGGTGGGTAGCGGGCCTTGAACCCTCACAGCCACATCAGGTCTCACTTCGGGACAACAGGCTCGGACCCCGTAGCAAGGCAGTGACAATAGCAAAACAACACAGATAAATGACAGGAGGGGAGTGAGTGGCCCAGCGAATCACCTACCCCCACATACGTGCTGTGCTGTGGGAGGGCAGGCATTTGTGCTAAATGGTGACAAAAAAAAAACAACAAAAAAAAAACAAGATGCAAATTACAGAGAATCTGTGCATAGACCGGCCTCAGCCACAGGAAGGAGAACACACACAGGAAAATGCCCAGAGGGAAACGCGCCGTAAACTGACAGTGACGTCCTAGGAGAAGCCTGGGGCCGAGGGGCTCTGCTCCCCTTCCGTTTTCGGCAGCTGCAGAGTGTTCTGTAGTGAGTGCGATTATTTTGATGATGAGAGGAAAAGTGAAAGAAGCACAAGGAAAAACATACAGCCTCATCCTAATGTATACAAGTCAGAGACGTGTTTGCGCTCTCAGGAAGCTTCCCAGTTGGTTGCTCTTTCCAGCGGTTTCGTTACTGGAAGGGCTGTTCAGTGGAAGTAGGTAATTGGAGTTATCTGTCAGGGAGAAACACTTAGTTGCACGAAAGCTACAGGATATGCTGCTGACTTGAGGGAGGTGGAGGGAGGCAGGAAGAAGAAAGAGAAGAGGGAAGGAAAGAGGCAGGAAAATCTGGGGTTCAGATCTATAGGAAACACCCCTTTGAGAACTGTCCTTTGCTGCCCCCTCCCTCTGCAAAGGCGGCTGCTAATGATGTGTGGTGCAGGGGGCCGGAGTCCCCAGGGGCTGCTCCGGCAGTAATCTCAATTACCCGCAGCTTTAAGCCACACTGGCCCCTAGCCAGTGGGGCCCTGGGGGCGGATGGCGGTTCACCAAGCAGCCCTTCTTAGCTCACAAAACAGATGGAGTTTTACTGCCTGTTGGGCAGGGCAGCTTCCTAGTTACACTGCAAGGTGCATTAGGCCGAGCCACCTTCCCTCTTCCCCTCATTTGTGCCTAAAATCAGACAGAAAGGGGGCCTCTGACCTCAGTGGTCCCAGGCCATAACTGAGAGTGACGGAATTTGCTAGGCCTGACAGCAACACACGGGCAAAGCAGGGAAAAGCAATTGCCTGGGTCCTTATCTTACCTTCTGTTCATGAGAGAGACATGCAGAGCACAAGGCCAATATTAGTCCTTTCAAAAATATACTCCTATTGTTAGAATAATCATTACCATGGTGCCTTAAACAAGCAGGCTAATGGCATTTGCCACTAGGCCTGAAAGGCCCATTCTAGCATCTACTGCCCCCACTGACTCCCTCTTGGTCCTGTTTCAGTACAAGGACAGGCGGGTCCCCATGCACGGCCCTCCTCTCTCACACACACATTTCCGTGGCAGTTCATATGTTTGCCCTTTCTCTTCCCTCTGCCTGGAAGGTTCCTCTCGCGCCATCCTCGTGATGGCTGGCAAATATCTCAACCTCCCACACCCCTTCCAGAAGGCCTCCTTCATCTCCACCCGACCCCAGCCTGGGCCGGTCTCCTGCTCTGTACCCCCAACCACCAGGGCTGCCCTACAGCACATCAGTCGCCAGCCGATGGTCCGTGGATCCCTGGTTGTCTGTGAGATCTGAAAGGTTGGCAAGCGCTGGTGTCAGGAAGCCTGTAGCACACAACGTGTGCTGTGTGTTTACTGAACGCCCCCAGGAGCTCCGTGAGGGCTGGGCCATAGCTGATTCAGCTCTGAGTCCCTGAACCCACGCAGTCCCTTCAGCACAGTGGGAATCAATGAAAGTGCAGATGGGACATACTACCCACATGCAAGCACAAGGGAACAGTGAGAAAATGTCCCCTACCCAGGGTGAGCCATCAATCAGCCACATGGGGAGGTGGAGCAAAGATTCCCTAACCCAGTGGTCGGCAAACCGTGGCTCCAGACCCACATGCGGCTCTTTGGCCCCTTGAGTCACAAAATACCTCGTGCGGGCGCGCACGTACAGTGCGATTGAAGCTTCGTGGCCCATGCACCGTTTTCGGACTGGGCGAGTCTATTTTGAAGAAGTGGCATTAGAACATTCAAGGGGCCAAAGAGCTGCATGTGGCTCGCGAGCCGTGGTTTGCCGACCACTGTCCTAACCCAACCTGATGGGAAGCTGGCAGAAAAAGCCCAGAAACCACGAAAAGACCATTTGAAATAGAGATACACACGCACCATTGCTAATGATAGACCTTGTCTTAAATGTGTATTTTATTTGTTTTCAATATATTTTTATTCATTGCAGAGAGGAAGGGAGAGGGAGCGAGAGCTAGAAAAGTCAGTGATGAAAGAGAACCATTTATTGGCTGCCTCCTGCACTTCCCACACGTGGGATCGAGCCCACAACCTGGATATGTGCCCTGACCGGGAATCGAACCATAACCTCCTGGTTCACAGGTCAGTGCTCCATCACCGAGCCACACTAGGCTGGCCTAAGTGTATATGAATGTGCTTTTACAGTTTGCCAGTGATACGTGAAGCCATGGAGATTGGCAAGCATTTAAAAATTAAGCATCGGAAAGTGCTTATAATAACAGCTATCTAGGGAGAGGGAAAGATATTTTTGATATTACAAAAAAACAACGTATAATTATTTAACATAGTTCTCTCATCTTCAGTGAGTCCTTTTTAAATTCTATTTTTATGAATGTTTTATAATGCACAAAGTAGATTAGTCTTCATAAATAAGTAACTGCTTATTTCAGTGATCTCAGTTCACACATTCCCACGAACAAGCTGTAAGATCAAAAAACATTTGGAGGCTACTGGCCAGAGGTGAAGAGTTGACAAACTGTGGAGTCAGAAAGTTGTGATTTCTGTCCAGCTCCTCTCCTACTATCTGTGTGACCCTAAGTAATCCACTCTCCCCCCTCCAACCCCGGCCAGTGTCTGTTAGGGTTTCATTTGCATAGTGCCTGGTGTGTAGCAATCACTCCATACATACCAACCCCTTTCGTGTTAAGGTGAGGTTTTAAGTGAGTACTGCCAGCCTGCCCAGCATTCAAATGCTCCTTGATACCCTTGGGAAATTTAAGGCCCAAAATAATCAATCAGGACCAATTTACCTAAGTATTTAACTACAGTAACAATTTCGCTCCATTCGAGCCATGTGTAGCAATACTGCTGCCTGCCAGGGCCTAGGCTGGATACTGAGGGCTTTGTCATAAAACGGGCTTCTGCCCCAGAGTCTCCCGGGAACCGCACACACACACACCACAGGGGGCGCATGGAAAAAGCTACAGAAGCAGAGTGGGGAGGGGTACTTAACTCTGGCCTCAAGTGAGAGCTATTGCTTATTGAGCACCTACTATGTGCCAGACACTGTTTGAACCCTCTCAAGACCCTTGCCCTCTTTACTGGTGAGGAAACTGAGGGGCAGGTATTTCTCCAGCACCGCACAGCTTCTCAGTAGCAGCACTGGTACTCAAACCCACATCTTAGCTACCGTATTCATGTCTACACACAACTCCTGCTGGACTCCCAGCCGAGCAGCGGAGTTGGTACCTAGGGCTCCACAGCCTCTTCCGCTGACCCAGCCCTCACCTGGGGTGCAGTCACCGAGGAGGGAGACGATACCCAGGCTTCCTCCGTTGCCCGAGTGGTCCTCATGCTTGTGTTTCCCTTGTGTTGGGTCTCCCCACAGCCCCCAAGTCGGCAGCCTTAGAAGAAATGCTTCACAACTTGGACTTCTGTGACATTTTGGTGCTAGGAGGGGACCTGGACCCAAGACAGGAGTGCTTGGAGCTGAACCACAGCGAGCTCCACCAGCGCCACCTCGACGCCACCAACTCCACTGCAGGCTACTCCATCTACGGTAAGCCACGCTCGGCCCGCCTCCCGGAAGTCTCCTCCTGGAGTGGCCTCGCCCAGGGAGGCACTTCATCCCCTATGATTGTGTCAGGTGGGGGCCCTTGACCTCAGAGCATGGGCTTCCAGCCCTTCCTTTGTGAGCCACTCCAGCATCTTGAGAACCTGGACCACATCCTATAGAAATAGATATTATAGCAACATTTGGCAAGTTGCGGCCACACATGGTGGACAGAGCCCACTGTCTGTGGAAATCCCGTGGGTCCCTTTCATTAGCTCCTTAGAACGTTTGCTTCAGTGCATTGTCTGCTCCTAAGCATCTCAAGCTCTCAGCCTGGCCACATTCAGGAGACCCAGCAGCTGCAGCCTGTCTCCCCACCTCCTCCTCTGCCTGGCTGAGACAGGTGTGGTCTCTTGGCAGGTGTGGGCTCCATGAGCCGCTACGAGCAGGTGCTGCGGCACATCCGCTACCGCAACTGGCGTCCGGCGTCGCTCGAGTCCCGGCGTTTCAGGATCAAATGCTCAGAACTCAACGGCCGCTACACCAGCAACGAGTTCAACCTGGAGGTGAGTGCGCCCTGCGGACGTCAGGGAGGCCCAGGCTCGTCCATTCTTTCCCTCGTGTATTTGGAGGGCCCACCTGCCCCTGGTCAACACCCCCTCTCTCTGCTCACCCAGGTCAGCCTCCTCCACGAGGTCAGAGTCTCAGACAACGAGCACGTCAACCACCTCATCGTGCAGCCCCCCTTCCTCCAGTCTGTCCAGCACCCCGAGGCCCGGACGAGCGTCCAGCGCAGTTCAGGTACGTCGCCCAGCAGGAGGGACCTCAGGACAACAGGTAACTCAAGACCATCCACTAAAAGGGCATTTAAAGTGCAGCAGGCATTGCTCCCCAGACCTGAGGGAGGGACCTGATAATGGGGAAGCTGTGGGCCCTGGCTCTGAGGCACTCACACAGCTTCCCAAGGGAACTAACTTGGTCAGGTAAACAAGTTACAGACAATAATAACAGAGGTTAGTGCAAAGGGCTGGGGTAACATTTTGCAAGTCCTTTTATTTTTATATTTTTTCATCTTTATTGTTGAGCGTGTTACAGATGTTCCCCCTTTTCTCCTCATTGTCCCCCCTCCACCCAGTTTTTGCCCTACCCCAGGCCTTCACCATCTACTGTCTGTGGCTATGGGTAGGTTCCCACTCCCCTTCCCTCTGAGATTTGTCTGTTCCATGCCTCTGACTCTATATTTTATTCACCAGTTTATTTTGTTCATTAGATTACTTGTTCATTTATTTTTAGATTCAATCGTTAATAGCCATGTATTTGTTGCTATTTTATTGTTCAGATTTTTTTTTTTTTAGCTCTTTTTAAAGAATACCCTTCAGCATATCATGTAATACTGGTTTGGTGGTGATGAACTCTGTTAGCTTTTTCTTGTTTATGAAGCTCTTTATCTGATCCTCAATTCTAAAGGAGAGCTTTGCTGGGTAATCTTGGTTGTAGGTCCTTGCTACTCATCACTTTGAATATTTCTTGCCACTCCCTTCTGCCCTTGTGTAGAGGTGTCCTGTAAGGCTCAGCCTCCCCAGTCACCTCAGCTGGGCACTCTAGGTGCACCCCTGTGTGGGCTGTGTGCACAGTCTTGTAGTTGAGCCTTGATTGCTGCTGGCATCGCTGGGAGGAGTTGACCTCCAGGCCAATTGGCTGTGAGGGCCAGCTGCGACTACAGTAGGTTAGCTGCTGTGCAGGAACAGGACTTGCTTCAGTGGGGCTTTGGTGCTGATCGAGTCTGCCTCTTGAGTGTGTCGCTTGTGGATGTGTAGGATTGTAATCTGCTATGGTCTGAAGCTGTCCACTGGTTCTAGGGCCTCCAAGGTAGTGCAAATTCAGCCACTGCTTGGGCCCCCCCGCCCCCAGCAAAAGCTACAGAGGGATTTTCAGGCAACTGCTATTTGCATTGGGCTTGGGGGTGCCCAGGCGAGGCCCAGCTGTGAAGGCAGGCAGGCTGGCACTAGTACCAAGTCTTGATTGATAGATTTTAGCAAAGTCTGAAGCCAGGACAGGCCATTCTTATGGAAAAGCTGCTGCAAACACCTTGGGTGGTGCTGCATATTGGATGGAGTGGAGTTCCCGAGAATTCCCAGTGTGGACCAGGCTGATGGAGACTCAGATATGGCTGACAGCTCTGGGACCAGGGAGGTCCCAGCACAGGAACAAAAGTCCCTATGAGCACTCCAGTCTGGGACAAAGCCACCTCGAGTTCCTTCCCCGATGCCATACTATCCAGTTCCTCCTCCTATGTATCTGAGTGCTCCAGAGCCGCCCAATGCTAGAGCTCAGATGGCACAAGTCCAAGTGCATTCCTGCGCCGGCCTTTAAAAGGAACAGCTGGGTCTCCAGCAGCCTGTGTGTCACTGAGCCCCAATCCCCACTGGTGTTTACAGCCCATAGGTTTGAGGACTTCTCTTCCCAGCTCTGAGACCCTGGGCTAGGGGTCTGGTGTGGTGCTGGGACCCCTTGCTCCTCACAGGCGACCTCCACAGAGAATATCTCCCTCCCAGCACACATGGGTATTGGACCAGCCCATTCCTACCAGTCTCAGCGTGCTTTCTTCTTTACTTCTCTAGTTGTAGTATTTCCATTCAGCCAGCTTTCAGAGGGTTCTGAATGACTTCTGTATTTTAGTTGTAATTTTGATGTGTGGGAGGTGGCAAGTACAGCATTTACCTATGCCAACATCTTGGTTCTGCAAGTCCTTTTAGGTTAAGGTGACCAGATTGTCTAGGTGTTGGCAGGACAGTCCTGATTTCTAACAATTTTTCCCACGGCATTTTAAAAAAGTCCCAATTTTTTGAAAGATTGGAAACATTGGAAAGATTCTTTCCAAAAATCGGGACTTTTTTAAAATGCTGTGGGATGCGGGAAAGATTGTTAGAAATCAGGACTGTCCCGCCAACACCTGGACGATCTGGTCACCTTATTTTAGATCCAACTCAAAGCCACATCCTATATGAGGCTTTCCTTTTACCCCTGACATAGGCACACGTATATACACATGTGCACCACACTGCAAAGTCTCTTACCTGTACTCTGTCCCAGTGCTTGCCGTATTGTATTACTGCTGTCTGTTGGGCACTGTTGTTCCTGCTAAAAACTCCAGAGTACCTGGCTCTCAGAGCTGTCCTATAATTTGAGGGGGGAAAGCTAGATAGTAGGCAGTCAATACATGCAAGTTCTTTTCTATGTGCCTATGTGGAAGTGCACATATATCATTTTGTTTGCTCCTCACAACTCCCCCTGGGATAGGAATTATTAAGTTTATCACATGGATGACGAATGTGAAGCCCAGACTGAGGTAGGTGCTAACCCAGAGTTCTATAACTGGAAAGGGATAGAGCAGATTTTTAGCCTAAGCATGGGTGTCTCACTCAGGCTCCATGGTGACCTAGAGTGAGCTAGTCCTCCATGTCACATGGATTCCTTCCTCATTCCAGTGGTCCCGAGCATTGCCACGGTGATCATCATCATCTCCGTGTGCATGCTAGTGTTCGTGGTAGCCATGGGCGTGTACCGGGTCCGGATCACCCACCAGCACTTCGCCCAGGAGACCGAGGCTGCCAAGGAGGCCGAGATGGATTGGGACGACTCTGCGCTCACTATCACAGTCAACCCCATGGAGGTGACCCTCACCCCGGGCGGGAGCTTCACTAGGATGCTTTCCCTCCACCCTGTCTTTCTTGTGCCAGAAGACCTGCCCTGTCTAACCCAGCCACAGAGGTCCCATCCTTCCGCTAAGCATATCCATCCCTCTCAACCTGAATGGACCATCTTTTCCCATCAGCTGCACTCACTGGTTAAAAAACGTGTGAATTGTTCTCACCCAGCAAACAGAACCAGACATCTCTTAAGGCGAGCAGCCATGTGGCATCTATCGGTTGCCACTCCCGTTAGATTTAGCTGGGAGCTAACACGTAGGGACTCAGTATTGAATTTTTGATTAATTAGTGCAAATTAAATGGCTTGGCTCCATGCTGCCTGCAGAGCTCATTTAAAGGCTCGGAATAGGTTAAAACAGAAATACAACATTAATAGCTGCCATTTATTGAGCCCCCCATTATGCCAGACACTGCACAGCGTGCTCTCTATGCGCACCTCATTTCCATCTTCCAGCCGCCTGAGAAGCCGGAGTCATCGCCCTCATATGCCGAGGCGCAGACCCACTCAGAGGGAAGTGCTCGCACTCCCATAGCCAACAATGGCGGTGCCATTTTCAGACTCCAGGTTGCCTGATTCTAACGTTCAGATCTTACCAGCCAACCAGCAGACCCCAGGACCATCCATGAAAAGCCCCTGCTCCAAGAAGCATGCCACACATATGAGTATCAAGGGAAGCCATGGCATCTTGCCTGTCAGTCTGCCCATGGGTATTGAGTGGAGGTAGAGCCCAGAGGAATAAAGTGGGAGCCACTGAGACATGAAAAGGTTATCCCAGCCTCATCCTCAATGACCCCTCAACTGGCCTTACGCTCTGATTTTAAAGCCTCCCAGTCGATGTGGCTCAGCACCTGCAGGGAGCCACCACTGTGGAGATGCCAGCATCTCCACCCGGGAAGAGCTGAGCCACCAATCCTGGATCTGTCTGAGTACCAGGCCAGCTCGTGCCTTCCCAGAGCTAACCTGGTGTTGCCAGCAGTCAGTGTAGCCTGAGCAACCAGAGCCAAGGGGACTGGAGGTTCAGGGAAGACTTCTTGGAGGAGGCTAGCTTAAGGGAGGCCTTGAAGAATGGGTAGGATTGGGGGGAGGCAATGGTAGAAGTGAAGACACTCCCGAGTTGGGATGTGGCCAAGGAGGGGCACATGTTTATACTTTTACGGCCGGTTCATCAAAGCATAAATCCAGAAAGATTTGGCCAGAATCACAAAAACCGGGGGCAGCAGAGATGGGACTAGGGACTAGAAAAAAAGGGGGACAGAGTCAGAGGGTGAGAGGCAGACAAGAAAATTGAGGACCGTGGACTTTGCTCCTCCCGGGGGAATGCTTTTGAAGGGCAGCACACCCGAGTCCTGGCTCAGGTGACCTCCTGCTCCGGAAGACATGACATTCCTACCTGGGAAAGGGGACAAGCTGAACCGCCCTCCTCTCACTGAGAAGCAGACACTGAGGACTTGGCCAGCTCATGTCAACAGGCCCCGGTAATGCCAGAAAGCAGACATGGGCCTGACAGGTCACAAAGTGACGTGTGCAACTGGCTTACATGTCCAGCATCTAAAACACGTCTCACCTTGCCTTCATGGCTCAGAATTTGCTGCTCTTTCTTGCCTGTGTTCTCGGCCCTCCGCTCTACCTTTCACCAGAGAACCTGGCGGGTCAGCATTAAGGGGCCCTCCATGTGGCCCCTCTGCAACCCCTGACCAGCATTTCCCTTCTCTTCCTACTCCCAGAAACACGAAGCACCGGGGCACAGGGAGGAAGAGACGGAAGAGGAGGAGGAAGCAGAAGACGACATCAGCTCCAGTGGCAGCGACTCAGACGCCAGCGACGAGGAGGAGGTGGAGGGGGGAGTGGGCAGGGGCAGACATGGGCAGAGCGGAGCCAGGCAAGCCCAGCTGGAGTGGGATGACTCCACCCTCCCATACTAGTGCCCCTCCTGTGCCCACTCACTGTCCCTTTTGTAAGCCACACCCAATGTATGTGAGTCTATCACTGTCGCCTCCGATTTCAATGACACTCTGGGCAGGCCTTCCCCAGCCTCCTGGAACCCGCCCTTCATGTGGGCTCTCCCGTACCCCAGCCCTGGGCTGGTTCCAGGAAGTCCAGCCTCTTCCTCAGTGGGGACTCCGGGGTGGACTGTGCTGCCACGCCCACTGCTCCTGCCCCTGACTCCCGGGTCCTGTCAGCCAATCTGCAGAGTTCTGCCTTTGATCATCTCTGCAGTTGCCTCCTTGAGCTCCATGTCCCCAAGACCCTGGGGTTCCAACTCACTGTGTGCACCAAACTCAGTTGTTTCTCCACACAGCGGGTTCTCCTTACCTGACTCTCCAGATGGCTTCCCTCAGGCAGGGTGGCTGGACTTCACACACCCAAGAGCTTGCCCTCAGCACTTGGAAGAAGTCCTTGCTGAGGCGGGAACTAAGTTCACAGGGAGAGGCTCCACACTCATGCACGCACACACGCTCCCCAGTTGGCAGAGCCTTTCCCTTTGACCTTTCTGAGACCATCCAAGCGTAAGTTAAAAGTCCAAAACATGGGCCACCGCAGGGCCTGAGGCCAGACCATACTGAGACCCACACGGCCTCCTTGTTGGGAGCTCCCACCCCATAAACCCACAGAGGCACTGCCCCAGGCGACGGCTGTGAAAAGCCTGCAGCCGGGGATCAGAAGGAAGGGCTGACAGGGCACTACCATTGGGCTTCACGGTGGACACAGATCTGGGAGACAGGGCAGCCCCAGGTGGACAAGGCTCTCGCCACCTAGTCTTAGGATCCTCATCCCCTATGTCACACTGGTTTACCTCTTAGGAAAACACATTCCTGTTGGATATATTAAAACAAGCGTGAACCGCATCAAGTCTAAAGCAAAAGTTTGAAAACTTAACTGCTAGGAATTAGAAACATTTGCAAGAACAGCTGCTTCATTTTCTTTCCATATAAAAAGGAGCAGCGCTTTGGGTGGAGGGCAAATATATCTGAAAACCTCACTTATTTCTTCTTGTTTTAAATAAGGAAATCTCTTCCATCTCCTTCCTAACATGGACACTTCATGGGGAGAACCGTTGCTATAGTAACTGGTCTGGGATCTTTTGTGGCCAAGAGAATAGCAGGCGAGAATTAGGGCCATTAGAGGACGTCCATGAGGCTCGGACCTCCTGGGCTTTGTCTTCGCATGCGTGATCTGTCCCTGTCCTCCCAGGCTCCTCCAGCCCACTCCATACTGGCTTGTTACAGGCGCCGAGCTGGTCCCTCATCACAGTGGCATTCAGATTCAAAAGTTCAGAATCTGTTCATTCTAATCCCAGCCCCTTCCCCTCCCCCCATTGAAACAGAGCTCCTGAAGCTTATGTCAGTTGTCCTCTCACCTGACCTGCACCCGGCAAGGACCCACAGTAAGCCTTTGCAACCCCCGATTCCAGAAAACATCCTTTATGCAGCTTTTTCCATCGCCGACAGTGCTTTCTGCATCTGTTCCTTCCTCTGAACCTCGCAATAATTCTCTGCTGTCAGGCACATTTCCATTGTGAGTAAACAGAGGTTCAGAGATTCCAGCATCTTGCTTAGTCCATAGACTAGATTGGACTCCCCACTTTCCACGTCTGGTCCAGTGCCCACCACCCTGATTCTATTTCTGTTTATCTTTTCCCACCTAACTGGCATTGCTGAGGACCTACTATGTGCTGAGCACTCACCCAGCAGCAGTGGGAAGGGATGGAGCTGAATAAGAGAAGCCCCTGGCATCAGAGGACTTGATGGTGGCAGAGTAAGACAAAGGAGCAAGAGGCAGGTGCAGAGGGAGGGAGAGAAGTCACAGGAAGAAGGGGGACACATCCACAAACTCAACCAGCCTCTTATTTTTCCCTTTTTAGGGAAAAACACTGGCAGGAGTTTGGGCTTTTATATTCATTGACTGGACTTTTATATTCATTGACTGGAAATAGACACCTCTGTGAATTCTCCCAACCAAATAGCCTTTTCTCCCCTGCTGTGTCCACACATCTACAGGGGAAAAACCTGTGAGACTGTGTAGTCCTCACATTCCCCCATCTCCGGGTGGCTGTGTCACTCATTCATGGCTGACTGAGCAGTCTGGAAATGGCAAATCTTGGGGAGAGGGAGCAAGGGAACATGGCACTTGACTAGGGCAGCAGACTGGACTTACATGCAGAGAAACAACAGGTCATCAGAGTCCCGTCAACACCTGCTGAGAAAAGTCACACTCTGCCCAGTTCAGAGGAGGCACTGGAAGTGGTGCTGCTGGGTCAAAGGCCATTGTCATGTCCCCAGCACCCTACTCATCACCGTGGTGAGAACAGGAAGGGACGGTGATGTAAAAGCAACATAAGCGTCAGGGATTATCCAGGTGAGTGGCGAGTTATGCCACTTGCCCTCCACCAGATACTCTGTCCACAAGTGGAAAAGGTCATGGTCAACCCAGCATTTTCGAGTCTCTAACTGGAGTTTTTAGCCAAACTCCCAGGTGACCTGGACAGGCTGTGCCCTCTCATCCATGTCAACAGTGGCAGATGCAGCCTTGAACCTAGGAGGAACAGCTGACTGGTTTGGCCAGCCCATTGCTTGTCTTTCCAAGTGCACCATCAGGTTCTGCTCTCTGAGGCTCGAAAATAGTCCAATACCTCTCCAGTGGTTCTGGTGACAGGAGGAGGGGGAAGAGGGGGAAGAGGTTGAGAGAGAAAAGGCCAACACAGAATGTATTGCCCTAGTGAGCACAGCAAGCAGGGAGCTGACCACCTGTCTTAAAGAATGCTACTATTAAAAGAATATTCTAGTAGGTGTAATCAAAGGCTATAAATCTGACCCAAAGCCCGAATTCATCTACATGAAAAAAATGGGATTTCAGTGAGACCTTTTCCCCCAGCACTTTCCTGAATGTACTCAACCCCGCAGGCCACATATCTGCAAGTAGCAAGGCTGTACCTGAGCATGGGGACCCTCCAGGGCGCAGGCTCCTGGTGGGGAGCGAGGTTCTTTCTCCTCTCCTGTACGTACACGGACGGCAGCACTCTGCAAGCTCTATTTGTTTTTTTTTTGTTTTTTTTGTGTGTGTGTTAGCTATTGTTATTTATTTTTATTTGACAATATAAAGGAAAAGGGATCAGTGAAACTGACTAGTCAGGTATTGTATATTTTTAAAGTTCTTGAAACACTCTGGTTGAAAATTATTGCCATAGTATATAAAAAGTAGTTTATAATTATAACTGAGTATTAAAAGCCAAATAGTCACCAAAATTATCTATCAAAGTTTTAATTAATACAAAAATATAGTTCCATAATTCTGTCAAAGGGTATCAGTTATTGCTGTTTTATTATATTAGGATATAATAAAATCCTAATATGCAAATTGCCTGAATGGTGGAACAACCCATCACTATGACACGCACTGACCACTGGGGGCAGTCGCTCAATGCAGGAGCTGGCCCCTGATGGTCACTGGGTGCAAGCTCTATTTGTAAAGAGCCAGAAAGGGAATAGTTAGGAGTCTGCAAGCCACATGGTCTCTGTTGCAAGTATTCCCCTGTCCTTGTAGCATGAAACCAGCCACAGACTTTGCTTAAGCAAATGACTATGAATACATTCCAAAAATAACTTTCATGAACATTGAAAATTCAGGCAAATTGAATTCCTATTATTTTCACATGTCACGAAATTTTATTCTTCTTTTGATTATGATTTTCAAGCATTTAAAATTGGAAAAACTTTCCTGAGCCCACGGGCCATACAAAAACAATAAGGCGGACAGATTTGGCCTTGGGGAGTAGTGTTGCACACTTCTTTTACCTTGCATGTGTAGAAATGGCTATCTCAGACCATCCCTTACACTACCCAGTGGTCTTTGCCTCTTAAAAGAACCACAAACAACACCCCAGTGTCTACTCACGCTGTTTTAAAAGTCTGTCCCAAAGAAAATGAAAGCAAAAAACACGTGTTACTTGTTGAATTGACTCAAATGCAGGTGAGCACTTGAGCTGAAGGCCCTGGTTCCAGGCACTGACTTTCCACCGAGCACTAGCCCCACTGAGCTGAGGGCTAACTCCCAGGCTCACGGCCTCCTCTGTGAGGCCCAGCCCATCCTGATTTCTAAGCAGGAATGTTCAATATCTCAGACTGATTTACATTTCATGCCATCACTCTGAAAATGATTCTAAAGACTTGTGACTGTTTGAATCAATAGGGATCTAATCAGTAAAGAGCCCGACCCAGCACACTTCAAAATAACAGTGTTCTTGGCTCTATGCTTCAATATGAGAAAGAAGAAAAGAAGGATTTCTTCTTAACCATCCCTCATTTAAATGAGCCATGTCACTTTAAAAAAAAAAAAAAAAAAAGTGAGGAAATGGGTCTAATTCTTTGAAAGGAGAGACCAGGGAAAAGTAGATGCTTTTCAGGTAAGATCATCCTCAGGCCTCTGGGAGAGCCTCAAAGCCTCCTGCCGGGGCTCTGGTGGGCTTCCCAGCGGCACATGATCTCTCTGCCTCAGATGCTGATGGAGGCAGACAAGCCAAAGCCTCGGGCACAACTTAATTTTCACGGAACCACTTTCCCTTGTCCAGCTGGAGGCAAAGGAAAGGAGAAATGAAAGTGTGAAGTCGGCTCCAGCACCTTCAGTTCCAGGCCTTTGTTTGCTTTCCTTTATGAATGAATTCTGGGCCTGCTTTAAGGATCTGGCTCTCACTTTCCTTTTGGCACCAGCTGCAAAGGACAGTTGGTTTTGCCAGGGCTGTGAATTCGAAGCCACTCTTGACTTTCCCGGGGAGAGAAAGAGAGACAGAAGAACTTACCTCCACCAGCACCCCAGAAAGCTCCCCCGCACTGCCTGTGAGCCATCAGCGAACAGATGGGATTCTGTGTCTGCAGCTATGTTCCATGTAATGCAGCAGATCCTTGCTGGGCGCCGGGGTGTGCCAGGT